GGTCGGTAACTTTTTTGCTCTGAGCGAGCGAAGCGAAGCGAACGCGTTAATTATTGAGATAATTAATCGCATTTTAATATACGAGTTAGTTACAATATTTTTCCGTTGACCGTCTTTTCAACAAAATAGAGAAAATCCATCGTTGAAAAATCTCCCAATTCTGTCACTGGCAAAATAACCTCACTTTTAATGTGTCATAATTTATTTTTGTAGTCTTACCGCATAGATATAGTGGTCGGTTGGGTCGGTATTACAAATTTCATTGGAGAATATTTATTAAATTGATTACTATTTAGTTCGGTCGGACTTTCTTAAAATCGTTTATTAATAGGTGTCATTAATGAATGATTTTGTATACATTTATAAATCATATAAATACACGGTCGACGGAAAATAATATTTACCGTCAATTAAGGAATAAAACGAAACTTAACACAACGAAACAGCATTTCAAGCGGATAATGTATAACATCCTCTACCCAAAAGCGAGTAGCAAAAGATAAAAGCGAAAACGAAAATATTCACAAATTATTTTATTAAGAAGACACGTGCTAGGGAGTTAAAACAGGACTGAGGTAACAGGAAAATGAGGGTTAGCGTGTCTGTATAAAGTCAAAAAAAAGGAGGGGGAGGGTTTATTAGATAAATTTAAGGAAGTTCCTATATTTGTTGGATTCTGTTATGTCATTTAATAGCAAATCATTATCACTTTTATCATTAATATGTATAAAATATTCCTCGTAGAGGTCCAGTTCTCTGGATTTTTTAATTATCTTGAGAAGTTTGGCACTTTCCAAAGAAAATTTATGGTTGTTATTCCTTAAATGCTTAAAGAAGGTGGAAGACTCTTTGGTAAAGTGCTCTTTGATTATGGTTTTAAGGCTTTTTACCAGTTTGGCCTATGTGAAAATGTTCGCATTCATTACATCTTAATTCGTAAACTCCATTAAGATCTAACTGGTTGAATTTGTGTTTATTATTAATAATTAACCGACCTAGTTTGTTATTGGAGGTAAAAGCTGGTGTGAGATTGTTTGGAAAGGTTTTTCTTAAATTTAAACTGTAATCCAGGATTAAATGGAATTGAAATGTATTTAGGTGCTGTTTTGTAATGAGGATATAATAGTTTATTAATGTGATTGTTCTAAACAGTGTTATAAATCTTCTGTATGTCTTTAAGTTTAAATCTGTTATTGAGGCCTATTTTAATGATGTTTTTGAGTTCGTCGATGGAATGCAAATTTAAAACTGGCCATTTTATGTTGTGCACAGTTATATGAGTCAGATGGTATGATGCAGTCGGTGAACGTGTTTTTTCTAAAAATGTTAAAATCGAGACACTCTTTATCTAAATTTTTGTTGATATTCAAGTCTAAAAAGTTTAATTGTCCATCTTTTTCAAGCTCATTAGTAAATTTCAAATCGCCTAGATTGTTAAGGAGGTTACTCAAATCATGTAACAAAGCAGGGTTATCGTCATTAATCACAAAGATGTCGTCAACATATCTGCAGTAGAATTTTATACCACCAGTAAAAGGTTCGTGTTTTTTTGAGAAAAGTTCTTTTTCGAAATGATTAACATATGTATATGTCAGCGAGTATTCCGGAAATAGGCGAACCCATGGGCAGTCCGTCTTTCATGTAAAAGAATTTATCATCAAATAAGAAGAAGATTTGTTGATATGTAATTTCTAATAGTTTAGAAAAGCAGTTTATTTCATTGCTGTTAAGTTCAAATTCTTTACTATTCTGAATTAAATGTTCTTTGATTATTGAAATGGTGGAATTGATTGGTATGTTAGTATAGAGGTTTTTGATGTTGAAAGAGATAAATTTATAATTCTTTAAGATTTTTAAATTTTTTGTCATATTAATAAGTTCCGTTGAGTTTTTGATATTGTATATGAAGTGATTTTGAAAAGTTTTGAACAGAGAAGTTTGGAGTATCTTTGCTAATTTACTGGTGAGAGTGCAGTTGTTGCTTATAATTGGTCTTATACTTTAATCTGGCTTGTAAAGCTTAATAACAGATTTAAATTTAAAGACATACAGAAGATTTATAACAATTTACAAGATTTACAACACCTAAATACATTTCAATTCCATTTAATCCTGGATTACAGTTTAAATTTAAGAAAAACCTTTCCAAACAATCTCACACCAGCTTTTACCTCCGATAACAAACTAGGTCAGTTAATTATTAATAACAAATACAAATTCAACCAGTTAGAACTTAATGGAGTTTACGAATTAAGATGTAATGAATGCGAATATTTTCACATAGGCCAAACTGGTAGAAGCCTTAAAACCAGAATCAAAGAGCACTTTACCAAAGAGTCTTCCACCTTCTTTAAGCATTTAAGGAATAACAACCATAAATCTTCTTTGGAAAGCGCCAAACTTCTCAAGATAATTAAAAAATCCAGAGAACTGGACCTCTACGAGGAATATTTTATACGTATTAATAATAAAAGTGATAATGATTTGCTATTAAATGACATAACAGAATTCAACAAATACAGGAACTTCCTTAAATTTATCTAATAAATCGCCCCCCCCCCTTTTTTTTGACTTTATACACACGCACTAGCCCTCATTTTCCTGTTACCTCAGCTACCTCAGTCCTGTTTTAACTCCCACGCACGTGTCTTCTTAATAAAATAATTTGTGAATATTTTCGTTTTCGCTTTTATCTTTTGCTACTCGCTTTTGAGTAGAGGATTTTATACATTATCCGCTTGAAATGTTATTTCGTTGTGATGTGCACATATTAACTTTCATTTTATTCCTTAATTGACGGTAAATATTAATTAATTTCTTATATAACTTAATTAAAATAATTGTCTCTTATAGTCGTGCCTGATGAAGAACTTATAGCTCGAAATACGTATAGCACTGATTTAAACATTGTAAGAAATTAATAAATTTTATTCAACGACACCTTTTCTTTATTATAGAAATATTCGGGCTTAGCAGCACGTCTCTCAAGACTGCTAAATTCGAATTATTCTAGTTCTAGGTCTAGTGTTAGTTTTAGTGATAGTACAAAACTAGAACTAACACTAGATCTAGAACTAGAAACATTCGGATATAGCCGCACGTCCCTCAAGACGGCTAAACCCGAATTATTCTAGTTCTAGGTCTAGTGTTAGTTCTAGTTTTAGTTCAATAAAAATATGAAACATAATGATATCTTATGCTAACTAGGCCAGTTACAACTGTCTCTAGAACTAACATTACACCTAAAAGTAGAAAAATTCAAGATTAGCCGTTTTAAGAGACGCACGGCTAAACGGAATGTTTTTAGTTCTAGGTCTAGTGCTAGTGTTAGTCCAGTTTTAGTTGTTATTCAGCGGTAGATAGTTGTATATTTTTATTGAGCTATAACGGACATTGATAGACTTTTTTAGGACTGTATGTAGACTTTTTTGAGTTAAAGATATGATTATGTTTTGTGTTCAACTTGATTAATAATAGCTTATACAGTATGTCCCCGGATCGAGTTACAAAGAGGAAAAAAAAATTTATTACTGATTTTTCAAACTTATCTCAGCATAAATAATGCGTCGGATATGTTCAAACCACTAAGGTCCATTACTACCATCTTTTAGTTAAATATATCTTACAGATAAACCCGTCTACTAGCCAATCTGAGTGCGTAAAATAGCCGTAACCGTGGTAATAATCCCTTAGATAGCTTAACCAGAAGATGGTAGTAACGAGCCTAAGGCTGGACCTAAATCGCACGAACTTTATATTCTAACTATAGAAGTTAACTAATTATTCACATTTTTATGTAAAAATTATACTTTTCTTAAATTAAAAATTTTTCAAGTTTAATTTACGATATGTAACCATAGAAACCAATAAAATAAAATAAAAGTTACAACTTATGTTAGTGAAAAATATACGGACAAATCAAATTAAAATATGGCTAATTGAATAATAGTATATTATTCAACAAGCGTATAATGGCGGCTGTTACCCACGAAGATGAAGTTAGGTGAGTGGGTAACATCCATTATACGCAAGTTGAATACTATACTTTATCTACAACCATTTAATTTTGAAAAAAAAAATCAAAAAAAAGGAAAAAAATGAAACTTGATAGACATTTCAGACAGAACCTATATAAGAAAGCTCCCATTTCTGTTAATATTTTATTTTTTAATTAGTAGGCCGTGTCAGAACTGTGGAATAATGGCTTCATTATTCAACACTTTGTCAGTCATAGGTAATGCGTGTCATTACCCGCCAAAAATCAAATGTATAACGAATAGATAATTCAGTAGTTGTAGATAAAATATTTTAAATGTTAATTTTAATAACACACTAAGTAAGTAATAAATATTATTTATTTGTAAGTGAACAAATCCTCATGCAAACAAATTCCCTCCCAATTCGGCACACATTTGAAGACGAGTTCTAAATTCTTTATAAGAAGTACGAATTTCCGCCAGTGGTAGAGATTCTATCGCTTTAATTATTCTTAGTTTTAACAGTTTTGAATCATCTTGTAATGGTTCACCGTAAACCATTTGTTTCAATCGTTCCCAAAAATAAACATCCATAATTGTAAGATCAGGACTACATGATGGCCATCAAATAGGACCATTTCGTTCAATCCATTTTTGACGAAATTGTAAATTTAACCATTTGGCAAAATGTGTGAATGATAAGCTGGGCAACTATCTTGCTGAAAGTACATTGACCGTATAAAATTTAAGGGTAATTGGATTTACATCGCTCCAATAACGACAATGCTGGGAAGAAACAATGTCATTTGTTGAAAAGCTATCTGAAAAGTAGCATCTTCCTCCTTTAGTCTCTTTGTCTGCCTCTTTATGAATAATACAGAACCCGTTTCCAAAATTTTTTTCATATGTTTGCGAGCCCCGACATGAGATATTTTTGTGTCCGGATATTTTAGCTGGAATTTTTGATAACTACACGAAAACATGATTCACTAGTACCATAGCACAGTACTAAATAAATTCTGTCTTTCACGGTTAACATCGCATGAAAAGACTTAATCTCACCAACATAACTTGTAAGTTTTATGGTTTCTATGATTACTAGGGCATGGAACTTTTGTAACAAAACGATACGATTTCCCCCCTCCACTCGTTCTAATTAAAGGAACAGCATACTGTTCAGTGGGAAATTTAAATTTCAAGTTAGAAAAAGATTGTGTTAACAAAAATTGTTCCTGAAACAATTCTAA